CCCAGCGTGCCACGTCCTGGCGGGCGCCGCTCCACGGCTGCGCGGCCAGCACGCGGCGCAGCGTGCCCTCGACGCCCTCGTGGTGCCGGCGGTGGCACTGCGCCACGATCTCCTGCCGCTCCAGCGCCGACGGCTCCCAGGATTTCCCGCGGCTGACGGAATTCCTGGCCCTGGCCCTGGCCCTGGCGGTCACCCTCTGAATCCAGCTCCACTCGTCCGGCGCCGCCGGGCCCGGCGCTCCCACCTGGCGCAGGCGGAGCGCTCCCGGGAAGGCGCGGAGCCAGTGCAGCACCTCGGCCGCCGCGGCCCCGCCGCGGTGCCGGCCCCGCTCCAGCAGTTCCAGCTCCGCCGCCAGCCCCGGGCAGCTGGAATACAGGAACAGCGGGGAGCGGCTCCGGTGCTGCTTCAGCAGCGCCCGCAGCGCCTCCAGCGCCGCCTCCTCCTCCTCGGGGCCCTGCCGCACGCCCAGCAGCCAGCGCTCCTCCAGGCTGGCGGCGGCGAAGGCCACGGCCGGTTTTTGGGACCATCCCTTCTCCACGGCCAGGAACCAGACGTTGGCTTTGGGAATGTCGGGCGGCAGCTGGCAGAGCGCCGGGGCCAGCGGGATCGTCACCGTTCGGGATTCCCGCGGCTCCGGGCCCTCGGTGGCCACCAGCAGCCTCCACTGCTCCGCGGGCTGGGAGCCGCCGGAGCCGCCGGCGCGCAGCGGCTCGCCCCGGAGCAGGTAGCGCCCGGCGGGGTCCCGGATGACGATGGGAGCCGGCCCCGTGAGTTTCTGGAAGGCCTGGACGGCCCAGACGGCCGCCAGGCACGAGGCGGCCTGCGGGGACCAGCTCTGGCCCCCGAGCCTGTGGGACCAGTGTCGCACCGGGAGCAGCGTTCCCGCCCTCTCCTGCAGCAGCACGGCTCCCACCGTCCGCGCGTGCACCGACAGCCGGATCACGAAGGGCTGGCATGTATTCGGGAAGAGCAGGGTGGGCGCGGCCCTCAGGGCCTCCTGCAGCTGCCGCAGCCGCTCCCGGGCCCGTTCCCACTCCCGCTGCCACGTCTGCTCCCGCTCCCGTTCCCGCTTCCCCGCCGCCGCCAGCGGCCACAGCGGCAGCACCAGCTCGCAGTAGTCGGGGATGAATTCCTTCAGATCCTCGAACTTGCCGAGGACGGAGCGGAGCCGGGCGGGATTCCAGGGCCCGGGCGCGTCGCACTCCCCGCAGATCTCCTGCAGCTTCTCCTGGGAGACGCGGCGCCCCGCGGCCCCCAGGGTCCTGCCCAGGTAATTCACCTCGTGCTGCACCAGCTGCGCCTTCTCCCGGTTCACCTTGAAGCCGGCCCTCTGGATCAGCTTCAGGACGCAGCGGGTCCGGTACCTCACCTGCCGCCGCCGCTTCCCGGTGATCAGGATGTCGTCGCAGTAGTGGAAGACGCCGCGGGCGGCGCCGGGCTCCAGCCCGGCCAGCATGGCGGCCACGCGGCGGTGCACGATGGAGCCGCTGCCGCGGAACGTCGGCGGCAGCCGCGTGAACAGGAACTGCTGGCCCCGGAAGGTGAAGGCGAAGCGGTGCCGGGAGCTGGGCTCCAGCGGGATGGCGAGGCTGGCGTTGGACAAATCCAGCACCGAGAAGAAGCGGCTCCGGGGGTTGACGGACGCCAGGATGCCGTGCCGGTCCAGCCTCTCCTGGGGCTTTTTGGGAGTGGCGGCGTTGAGGGCGGCGCAGTCCAGGGTCAGGCGGTCGCCGCGGCCGTGCGGTTTTCGGAAGAGAATCAAGGAATTGTTGGATTTGGAGGTGCCCTCCACCACGATTCCCTCCTTCCGGTATTCCTGCAGCAGCTCTGCCATCTTCATCTCCTCGTGCGGGCGCAGCGGGCGCTGCTGCTGGAAGGGCACCGGGCCCCCGGCCAGCTGCTCCTCCTCGGCCACGCGCCCGCAGTCCAGCCAGGAGCGCGCCCACGCCTCCGGGAACCTCTGCTCCAGGGGGTGGGGAGCCCTCACCAGGAGGATGTTCACGGCGCCCTGCTCCCACTCCGAGCCCGAGTCCGAGTCCGAGCTCTCGGCGTTCCCGCTGACCGTCAGCACTCGGGGGAGGCTCCCGTAATTCCCGCTGGGAACGCTGTGGTCCGGGCTGGCTCCGGAGCCCTGCTCCTGGTCCGAGCCTGAGCCCGAGCCCAAGCCCCATCCCAAGCCCGAGTCCTCCTCCACACTCTCGGCGTTCCCGCTGACCCTCGGCACTCCAGGGAGGCTCCCGTAATTCCCGCCGGGAACGCCGCAGTCCGGGCTGGCTCCGGTGCCCTGCTCCCGGTGGAGCAGTCCGGCCGCCAGCTCCGCCGTGGCCTTCCCTTCCCAGCTCTCCATGTCCTCTCCCAGCCGGAGCCGCTCCCTGCACTCCGCTCCCGACGGAGCCTCCGGGCTCCGGCCGGCACCTCCGGGGCTGGAGGCAGCGCCCGTGTCACTCTCCCGGCTCCGGGAATTCCTGCCGGGCTCTCCCTCCTCATCCTCGCATCTCCCAACCCGGGGAGGGAGCGGGGGCGGGGGCCGAGGCTGAGCCCGAGCCATCCCTTCCATCAGCACATTCCCATTCCCGGTGGCACCGTCCATGTCCCGGCTCCGGGAATTCCTGCCGGGCTCTCCCTCCTCATCCTCCCTGCTCCCAGCCCCGGGTGGCAGCGGGGCGCGTCGCCGAGCCCGAGCCGTCCCTTCCTTTGGCACGTTCCCATTCTGGAGGGCAGTGGCACTGTCCACATCCCGGCTCCGGGAATTGCTGCCGGCCTCTCCCTCCTCATCCTCACGTCTCCCGGCCCAGGGTGGGAGCCGGGGCGGGGGCCGGGCCATCCCTTCCCCGGGCACATTCCCATTCCGGGTGGCACTGTCCATGTCCGTGTCCCTCTCCCGGCTCCGGGAATTCCTGCCGGGCTCTCCCTCCGCATCCTCCCTGCTCCCAGCCCCGGGTGGGAGCGGGGCCCGACGCCGAGCCCGAGCCATCCCTTCCCTTGGCACAATCCCATTCCGGGTGGCACCGTCCACATCCCGGCTCTGGGAATTCCTGCCGGGCTCTCCCTCCTCATCCTCCCTGTTCCCAGCCCCAGGTGGGAGCGGGGCCCGACGCCGAGCCCGAGCCATCCCTTCCCTTGGCACAATCCCATTCCGGGTGGCACCGTCCACATCCCGGCTCTGGGAATTCCTGCCGGGCTCTCCCTCCTCATCCCTGCTCCCAACCCGGGGAGGGAGCGGGGGTGGGGGCTGAGCCTGAGCCGTCCCTTCCCTCAGCACATTCCCATTCCCGGTGGCACCGTCCATGTCTATGTCCCGGCTCCGGGAATTCCTGCCGGGCTCTCCCTCCTCATCCTCCCTGTTCCCAGCCCCGGGTGGCAGCGGGGCCCGACGCCGAGCCCGAGCCATCCCTTCCCCGGGCACATTCCCATTCCGGGCTTGGCGCGGGACACCCGGCTGGTCCCCAGAGTCCTTCCCGAGGGCCCGGATCCCTCCGGGGCCGCTCCCCACCTCCGGCTGCTCCCCGTTCACCCGCGCGCCGCCGGGCCCGTCTCCCGCCTCTCCCGGCATCCCGGCGTGCCCGGCTCCTCGGGAATGCCGCATCCCGTCCTGGCGCCACGGCCGGGCCCAGCCCTGCCCGGGCCGCCGGGAATCCTGCGGGAAAGCTCCTGGATCCCGCGGGAAAGCTCCTGGATCCCGGGCTCCGGGGGGATCCCGGGCCCCGGGGGGATCCCGCGGGCGCCTGCTCCTCCCGGGCAGGAAGCAGAACATGGCCCCGGGCAGCGGGACGGAAGCCGGGGCCTCCTCGCCTCGCCGGGGCTTGCGCTGGCCCCGGAGTCCCGAAAGCAGCCCGGGAATCCCAAAAGCGGCTCGGGAATTTCCGGCAGTCCCGAGGGTGTCCCAGGGGTGTCCTGGAGGTGTCCCGGGAATTTTCTCGGTCCCAAGAGCGTCCCGGGAATTTTCTCAGTCCCAGGAGTGTCCCAGGGATGTCTCAGGAATTTTCTCAATCCCAGGAGCGTCCCAAGGATTTCTCAGGAATTTTCTCAGTCCCAGGAGTGTCCCAGGGATGTCTCAGGAATTTTCTCAATCCCAGGAGCGTCCCAAGGATTTCTCAGGAATTTTCTCAGTCCCAGGAGTCCCAGGGATGTCTCAGGAATTTTCTGGGTCCCAAGAGCGTCCCGGGGGTGTCCCAGGAATTTTCTCGGTCCCAAGAGCGTCCCGGGAATTTTCTCGGTCCCAAGAGTGTCCCAGGAATTTTCTCAGTCCCAGGAGTGTCCCAAGGATTTCTCAGGAATTTTCTCAGTCCCGAGAGCGTCCCGGGAATTCCGTCCGTGCCGGGATGTCCCGGGAATTCCGTCCGTGCCGGGATGTCCGTGCGGCGCCCCGCGGCGCGGTGCCCGGGGCAGGAAGAGGAAGCTGGGGACGAGGAGGAGGAGGAGGAGGAGGAGGAGGATGGGGAGGAAGGCGCGGGCTCGTTCCGGGGCCGCCGCGGTCACGGCCCCGACCCCTCCTCCCCCCTCCGGTGACTCCCGGGGCCGAGACCCCCCCAGAGCGGGGCAGGACCCCCGGGACCCCCAAAACACCGGGAAAGGAACAACCGGGAAAAGGCGCGTGCCGGGAAAGCCCGGCACGGCACGGCACGGCCCGGCCCGGCACGGCACGGCATGACCGGACATGCCCCGACATGTCGCGACATGGCCCCGCGGAGCGACCCGGGAGCGACCGGCCCGGCCCGACCCCGGCGTCCCCCCGCATTCCCGGGATCCCCCACGAATCCCGGGATCCCCCGACATTCCCAGTAATAGATATAGTTATTTCTGTAAAATTATATTACATACTTTTATATAATATATAACACATAATACAATAGATATTAAATTAATATATAGAAATATATATTATATTACATGATATGATACTATATTATATTATATTAGTATTATAGATGTATTACTTCTAAAAAATATAATATATATAAAAATAATTTCCTTTCTTGTTATAAAGTCGCAGATGTTTCATGATTCGTGCTAGTTAAATTGTAGCTGTAGCAATATTTTAGAAAGTAAAAAAATATATTTTAATATATTATATATATAAATATGGATTTAAAATATATATTATCTGTATTATATGTAGATTAAATATCTATATTATATATAGATAAAAATATAATATAGATACTATAATATAGATTAAAGTATCTATAGGTATATATTCTAATATATGTAAAAGAAAAAATGTATTTTTATATTCTAAAATATATTATAATATATATATAAATACATATTTATATAGATATAATTATATGTATAAAATATATTCTAATATTATATATATAATATTATATATATAAAATAATTTCCTTTATTACGTGTTATAAAGTCGCAGATGTTTCATGATTCGTGCTAACTAAATTGTAATGATGTCAGTATTTTAGAAAATAAAATATATATTTATATATTATTATATATAAATAGAGATTTAAAACTATATATCATCTATATTATAGCTAGATAATTTTTATATATTATATGGTTTTATATATTTATAATGTCTGTATATAATTATGTAGATATTATTGTATAGATTTAATTATATTTATATATATATATTAGGAGAAAATATATATTTTTATAACCTATATTATATATTGATAAAATATATATTTTTATATATTATATGGTTTTATATATTTATAATATCTATATATAATTATGTAGATATTATTGTATAGATTTAATTATATTTATATATATATATTAGGAGAAAATATGTATTTTTATAACCTATATTATATATTGATAAAATATATATTTTTATATATTATATGGTTTTATATGTTTATAATATCTATATATAATTATGTAGATATAATTATATATATATAATTTTATTTTTATATATATATATAAGGAGAAAATATATATTTTTACATTCCCAACCACATTCTAATACAATAAATAAAAAATTAATTTCCTTTATGAGTCGTTCCCAATTCGCGGATGTTCCACGTGAAAATCGGAGTTCCGGACGGAACGTTGGGATCATCGCGGTCCCGCTGGGATTCCATCCCTGAGATAATGAGCCCTAATTGGGCGTAATTGCTTAATTGCGTAACACGGAGCGCAGCGCGCATGCGCGGGGGTTACACGGGGGGCAGCGAGGGAGAGGAGGAGAGCCTTCCTCCCGGGACCCCAAATCCAGGGACCCCAAAAATCCAGGATCACCAAAATCCGGGAGCCAAAATCCAGGAGCCCAAAATCCAGGATCCCCAAAAACCCAGGGACTCCAAATCCAGGAGCCCCAAAAATCCAGGGCCCCAAAATCCAGGGAGCCCAAAATCCAAGGACCCCAAAATCCAGGGCCCCAAAATCCAGGATCACCAAAATCCAGGGACCCCAAAATCCAGGGCCCCAAAATCCAGGATCACCAAAATCCAGGGACCCCAAAATCCAGGGCCCCAAAATCCAGGATCACCAAAATCCAGGGACCCCAAAATCCAGGGCCCCAAAATCCAGGATCACCAAAATCCAGGGACCCCAAAATCCAGGGCCCCAAAATCCAGGATCTCCAAAATCCAGCGAGTCCAAAATCCAGAGACCCTAAAATCCAAGAGCCCAAAAATCCTGGGACCCAAAAATCCAGGATCCCCGAAATCCAGGGACCCCAAATCAAGGAACCCCAAAATCCAGGATCCCCGAAATCCAGGGACCCTGAAATCCAGGGATTCCAAATCCAGGGACCCCAAAAATCCAGGAGCCCAAAATCCAGGGACCAAAAAGTTCGGGGACCCCAAAAATCCAGGAGCCCCGAAGTCCAGAGAGCCCAAAATCCAGGGATCCCAAAAATCCAGAGACCCCAAAAATCCAGAGACCCTAAAACCCAGGGACCCCAAATCAAGGGACCCTAAAATCCAGGATCCCCAAAAATCCAGGGACCCAAAATCCAGGAGCCCCAAAAATTCAGGGACCCAAAAATCTAGGGACCCCAAAATCCTGGGGCCCAAAGTCCAGGGACCCCAAAATCCAGGGACCCAAAATCCAGGAGCCCAAAATCCAGAGACCCAAAATCCAGAGACCCCAAAAATCCAAGGATACCAAAAATCCTGGAACTCCAAATCCAGGCGCCCCAGAAATCCGGGAGCCCCAAAATCCAGGGACCCCAAAAATCCAGAGACCCCAAAAATCCAGAGACCCTAAAACCCAGGGACCCCAAATCAAGGGACCCTAAAATCCAGGATCCCCAAAAATCCAGGAACCCCAAAATCCAGGATCACCAAAATCCAGGAGCCCAAAATCCAGGAGCCCCAAAAATTCAGGGACCCAAAAATCTAGGGACCCCAAAATCCTGGGGCCCAAAATCCAGGGACCCCAAAATCCAGGGACCCAAAATCCAGGAGCCCAAAATCCAGAGACCCAAAATCCAGAGACCCCAAAAATCCAGAGACCCTAAAACCCAGGGACCCCAAATCAAGGGACCCTAAAATCCAGGATCCCCAAAAATCCAGGGACCCAAAATCCAGGAGCCCCAAAAATTCAGGGACCCAAAAATCTAGGGACCCCAAAATCCTGGGGCCCAAAATCCAGGGACCCCAAAATCCAGGGACCCAAAATCCAGGAGCCCAAAATCCAGAGACCCAAAATCCAGAGACCCCAAAAATCCAAGGATACCAAAAATCCTGAAACTCCAAATCCAGGCGCCCCAGAAATCCGGGAGCCCCAAAATCCAGGGACCCCAAATCCAGGGACCCCAAAAATCCAGAATCACCGAAATCCAGGAACCCCAAAATCCAAGGACACAAAAATCCAGGATCACCAAAATCCAGGAACCCCAAAATCCAGGGACCCTAAAAACCAGGATCCCCAAAAATATAGAGACCCCAAAATCCAGGGACCCCAAAATACAGAGACCCCAAAAATCCAGGGAGCCAAAATCCAGGGACCCCAAATTCAGGAATCCAAAAACCAGAAACCCAAAATCCAGGAGCCCAAAAAATCCAGGGACCCCAAAAATCCAGGGTGCAGGAGTGGAGCCCCAAAATCCAGGACCCCCCAAAATCCAGGATTCAGGAATGGACCCCCAAAATACACCATCCCCAAAAATCCAGCAGAACCCCCAAAATCCTGGGTGCAGGAATGGACCCCCCAAATCCAGGACCCCAAAAATCCAGCATGCAGGAATGGACCCACCCCAAAAATCCAGGGGGCAGGAGTGGAGCCCCAAAATCCAGGACCCCCCAAAATCCAGGATTCAGGAATGGACCCCCAAAATACACCATCCCCAAAAATCCAGCAGAACCCCCAAAATCCTGGGTGCAGGAATGGACCCCCCAAATCCAGGACCCCAAAAATCCAGCATGCACAGGAATGGACCCCCCAAAATCCAGGATCCCCAAAATTCCAGAGCCCCCAAAATCCAGGACCCCAAATCCCGGATCCGGGAATTGCTCCTCGCTGGCCGAGCTCCCTTCTGCTCGCCCCAAAAGGAAAAAATTTCTTAATTTGGTGCAAAAAAAGGCAATTAATGAGAATTTGAAGCCTTCACACCTGGGGCTGCTAATTAGACAGAGGCTGAAGGGTTTTAATGAAGTTAGTAATTAGACAGAAGGTAAAAGGTTTTAATGAAGTTAGTCAGTAATTAGACAGAAGGTAAAAGGTTTTAATGAAGTTATTCACAAGAAAAGGAAAAGAACAAAGGGAATAATCATTTATTACATATTACATAAATAGTATATTGTATATATAGCACATTATATGTAGGATATTATCGATTATATAAACAGAATATTATATGTATATAGAATATTGTGGATTTATATAAAGATGTGTTATATATATAACGTATTATGGATTTTGTAGATAGCAAATTATATATAGTAAGTTATGTATTATATATAGTGTATCATATATATTATATATAAAATATTATATATTATATATTGCAATATTTATTATATATTATAATTATGTATTATATTGTATATTGTGTATTATATAATGTATATTAGAGATTATACTTTATATATTA